CCTCGGTCAATGACACGGACCTAAAGATCGCTAATGGGCGCCTAACAAAGGAGCGATGCAAAATTGAAGGATTGGAAGTCAGGGGGGCATAGGAAAAATACCTTGATTAGTGGTGGAAGCCGTGGGCGCGGACTCCGAAGGCGCCTCTGAATCTTCAGGCGCGTTGACGACTTGTGTTGCCTCAACATCAGCAGGCGCCTCGACGTTAGCAGGTGCGGAAGAAGAAGAATTACCCTTCGATTGCTTGGGCGCCTCCTTGGTCGATCGAGGCGCTCTCTGATCCTGGTTTCGCATCGGGTCAGGTGACAGATGCTGCTCCAAGAAATCAAGAACGCTAGGCGCCTCCTTGTCGGCGGCGGTCGGCGCTGCGCCGGAGTCTGACTTCGACATGTCTCAGTGAGAGCACGAGGGGCGCACAGATGTGAGAAAGGAGGGCGCGTGGGTGCGACGGAGAAGGAGCAGCTAGAGAGAGGAAGTAGAGAGAGAAGCAGATTTGGGGCGAATGAGATAGAATGGAGAGGAGGATGAATATTTATAAGAGGAAGGGGAGAAGGTGAAGAGTCACCTAGGAAATCGCGCGCTGAACGATCCAATCCTCGCCCTCCGTTCAAAATTTGAATTTTGAAATTCAAAAATTTGAACGCACACCGAGTGGGGGGCAGGAGGTACGGTCACGCGCACGGTCATGCGCTTGGTAAGAGCGGGGCCGTGCGCCTCCTTGATGGTCCAAAATGGTGAGGATCATGGTTACGCGCCTCTTGTTTCCTTCTTTCATGCGCTCAAACCTAGGTGCGAGCAGGCGCCTTAGTGAGTGAGCATGTGCAAGTCGATAAGGCGTGGTCAGAACGGGACCGTGCGCCTACTTGATTGTTCAAAACCAGATGGAATGATGAGGATCGCGGTTACGCGCCTCCTGTTTTCTTTCTTTCACGCGCCCGAACCTAGGTGCGAGCTCATCTAAAAAGGCAGGGGGGCAACGTGAAGTAAACACCAAAGGCGCATTGCTTAGGATAGGGGCGCATAGGCTTATGCAAAGCAAATTCGAGCGCCTCATGGTAGCACAAAGCCGGATCACATAGTTAGGCGCTCACCAGTGAACACCTAACTGGGGGGCAATTGTTGGGGTAGTAGAGAGGAGCCCATGATAGTTAAAAGCCTAATGGGCCTTATTGAGATAGGGGAAAGGTGCTCATAAAAGTTAAGAGTCTGTTGGGCCCGAAGCCTATCTATGGCCCATAAGAGTATGATCCAAGTGGTTACAAAGGAGCAGGGGCGCATGGCGACAAAATAGGCTCGCAGACAAGGGAGTACAGGTGGACAAGCTCAGGAGGGCGCCACGAAGCAGGTGGTCCCCCTATGCGCCCCGACGTGGAAAATGGGCGGTATGCCACGTGTAGGCGCGTAGGCGCCAGGGGAGACCAAGCATTTAATGCTAGGCTGACATAAGCCTTGGTGGCAGGAGTTGGTCGGAGCTTGGTCGAGAAGCTCAAGTAGTATAAATAGCACTTGGTAGGTAGCATTTAAGCAGGTTGGTCTTTCTCACACTAAACTTCTTTCTTCACTTCTCTCTCTAGAGTTGCACCTGACTTGATCGTTGGAGTGCTAACGGACGGGGGTAGCCCTCTAGGCGCCCGTCCTGCAGGGTCCAAGCGCTCGGCGTGGGGCAGCGGGAAGTGACACGTGGAAGAGGGAGTATCCAGGCTTCAACAACTGTATTAACGGGTCAATTTCATTTGTTTAACGATAAAAAATATATTGATCAAATGGTTTTAAACCGTTTGTCATTGAACCACACGAATCAATTTGTTGTATGCGGTTCACTCGTTTAACATTTTAATATAAAAACTAGAAAATATATTGATCATATGGTTAATTAAGCTTCAGGGCCTTCAGAACAAGAAGATCTGTGAGTGATTATAATTGTCAAAGGGAAAATCTTAATCCCAAGATTAGGTGCGACCTTATATTCTATGACCTGGTTTTCATGATTAATTTATTGAACTATCTCCATATTGAACAAGACGTAACCATCCAGGCCGCCTAAAGAACATAAAAAGAAAAAAGAAAAAACACTTGAAACTCAAGCTTTCAATGAAATAGTAACAAGCATAGATTAGGGGTCAAGTCAAACTCAACAGATACGATTTACGGCCGGCGGCGATTGCCAAAGGAAAAAATGGGGGGTTTGTGTCGGGTGATTAGCCGGCAAACCCTGCTTAACTTCACCTAATAAAGTAGGGCAAAGTAGAAGTAGTAGTGGCCAGTGGGATTGAGATTGAGTGCGTTGGCCATCTTTTTCTTGTGCCAATGGTTAACTGTTCATAGGGCAGTCTTTTGAGGCAAAAGTTGGACACTAGTGAATGTGTGAGAGATTGATAAGTGTGATCATATAGTATTTCGTATTTGAATTTTGATTTAATCGTGATTTGATAATTTTATAATGATAAAATTTTATTTTAATTTGGTTTTTAATAAATAAATTTTCAGTCCAATCGTCAGTACAATATGATTATAATACTCGAATGAATTACCAATTAGTGTGAAGCGCAATCTATATGGTATTATTTTTTTAAAGGGCACCTGCATATATTATGCAGCAAGCCGGCCCCTGGTTTGAGGATTGGAATTTGGAAAGCTAGCTAGGCCAAGATAGGTTCTGTGCTCACATCATGGTTCATCTTTTTTAGGGTTGCCAATGACTTAAGCGAGGGATGAGTTGAATTAGTTTTAAGTTGAGTTGCAACTAATCGGAGTTAACAAAACAAACTCATATGATTATGATCCGATGAACGGAGTTTAGGATTCTCAAAATGGACCTTGGTGAAAGAGTGGCATTAAATTTAATACTACTAGCGACTAGGGATGGCAATCAAACCCATGCTCACGGGTATCCGACCGCCCCCGACCCGGTCAATGCGGGGATTGCCCACGGGTATCCGACCGCCCCCGACCCAGTCAACGCGGGGAATCCCCGCATTGACCGGGTATGGGGCGGGTATGGGTAAAACCCGCAAAAAGTTTGATGGGTATGGGGCGGGTATGGTTTTAGCCTCCCCCGCCCCATACCCATACCCGCCCCACCAAAAATATTTCTTCACATATGAAAAATATATAGTAGAAATGCAATTGAGTGGCCACCCAAATCAAAATATAATTTATTTCTCTCAATTATCCCTTCACTCTTTCACTTTTTCCCCTTGTTAACAAGATTATGTTAGTTAATTAGAATTATTAAGCCACAAGCAGACAAAACTTACCAAAAATCGAAAAACGCTGTTCATTACGAAAAAATCGCTCGCCACTGTTCACCAAGAGACATGGTGATTCCCTGTGGTCCTACCTATGTGAACTCATGTGCATATATCTTTGGGAAGGCCAAGTGTGGCCGTTGATGCTTATATTTAGACAAAACGTGACCATTGATGATAGACCAGATCGGTGGGCCCCTTAAAAAAAGAATACGTTTCTCGATAGTCTAAACTTTCTTTTCTCTCACCTCCAGAAAAACACGCCTCCCAAACCTTCTGCCCTTCTCTCCCATCTCGATACCCGATCCAGAACCTACCATCTTCGTAACCTCCGATCGACCAGACGCCTGCCCTTCTCTCCCAAACCTTCTTCCCTTCTCTCCCCTCTCCGAAACCACTGAACGGACGGACGCCGGCGGGAGACGATGGCGACAGAGAACCTGGAAGCCAACGAACGACGCCCGATTTCCCCTCTCTCTCATCTCCCTAAACCCACTTAATGGCATGCCGGCGAGAGGAGGTGGCGACGACAGATCCACCATCTCCCAACCCACTGAACGGACACCGACGAATGTCCCCCAATTTCACCTCCCTGACCGTTGAACAGCACGCCGGAGGGAGACTGGCAAGGGCTGATGTCCCCGGGAAATCGCGGGTTTTGATTTCCCCCCTCTCCCACGAACCTCTCAACGACATGTCCTTCAACTCACTCGACGGCACTGCGGCGGACGACGACAGCGAAACCTCCTCACATCCCAGCCTCCTCTTTGATCCTCACCTTCTCCGACGTTTCGTCTCCTAGGGTCGTCCCCAAGTCGATGAGGCGACAAGGGCAAGACATGCGGTGAAAATCAGATCCACCTCTACTGAGGGCTACGGCAATTCACGGTGGCACCTTTGATTGTTTGATTTCGGTGAGTCCACTATTTGGGGTTGGATCCATTCATCCGTCTTTTATATCAAATACCTCATTGATACCTTTTCTTCTTCACGTCTACTTCACTTCATTTGAAACAAAGTAGAAAGGTTAATCTAGGCCAAACTAATTAATGTTGAATGATTTGCTAAACAACCCTTTAGTCATTTATAAGCTTAAGCGTGAAACCATCTTTGATGAGGATCCATGAGTGAGTGAGAAGAATTGTTTTTGCAGTTCCATATATATATATTATCAAGTAAATATACAAGGGTTCGTTCATGAGTTTTGTTTTGACAGTTAGAACACAACTTCCTCCCTCTTGCTAAAAGTTGTGGAAGCCTTTCCTTGCTAACTCACAACAACCTGCTTGCCCCATGTGCTTTGGCTTTCAAGTAATAGTCTATTCTTTTTCCAGACTGTCTAAAGGAGTTATGTTCTTTGACGCAGCACATAACTAAGGATGAAGAAGAAGAGGGACCAGGTGGTATCCACAATTGAGCGGTTTACCACTCTAGCAATGCCTCTACTCCTCAGATATGAATCAAATATAAGTGGAACAATGCAGGGAGTCGAGTCATTTGCGTGGAGAAAATGTGGGCTCCATTGTCCTTTTAGCAAGAGGTGAGTATGACATTTCACTTTGATAATTCCCGCACCTTCTTTTATGTTGAAGCATGGTCTGAACTAGCTTTTTTTTTACACAGACACATCTCTTTGATAAATGAGCAGCTTCTTCTTTGTTGGAGCATGGTTTGAGATGATGTGATTACATTTTAAGTAGTCCAACAATGATATATGTTACATGTTTCTCTTTTCTCTTTATGTCATTAGCCGCTTAATGGATGGACTGCAATTTCAGACTCTGGCCCGATGAGTTCTAGACAGACATTGGGTCAGAGTGAGAACAGGAGCGTGAGTGGAAGGGAGACAGTCATGGGATCGAAGCTGTACAAGTTGCAGGTGCAAGAGGCTAGGACTTCAGGTGACTCCATTTTTACTCAAGGGGGTAATGTCATTATTCAGTAGGTTTGTTTTTAATAGTTACTAGGTTAGGCATCCCAATGCTCGGGAATGCGACCGAGGGGAGTGAACTGGCATTCTCTGGCTATGGCCGATTCCTAACGGAGGGATAATTTGGTAGATCGATGGTGACATGACTATGGTAGTAAATGTAAGCATCCGACTAGCTCTCTTAGTAGGTGTTCACACAACCTTTAGGAGTTTGAAGAATATATAATCAGCATTAGTTTGTGTTGGAACTAACTTATTAGAACACATAAAGCTCTACACTTCGGGGATAGGAAAGTTGGTACCAACCGGGATTACTTTACGAGTTCTATAATTTTGAGATTACTTAACTAGGTTTCTCTTTCCTTATATGAATTGTTGTTCTTGCTTAGCATTGATGAATTATGCTTTGGATATGAGTTCTGACAATTGGGAGAAGTCCACGAAGCTTATTTAGCTTTATGCTTTTTGGTTTCATTTTGGAGGGAGGGATCCCTCTTTTATATCAAGCGTTTGCTATTTACTATTTCATAGCTTAGCCGGTGTAAATTCAAAGTACATTTGCAATGCTCTTCTTTCATTTCAAGATGTATGTTAAGAGGGAGTATGTTTTGGTTATCTAACATATGATGGGTTTTAATTGTGGAGCAGCAGCCTTTGTTACTTGCTTGATGAATCTGCTTGACATTTTTCTGTATCTTCATTAACTCGAGCTCTAACACCCATGTTGCTTGGTGAATCACTTGGATCTCTCCAATAGGCTAGGCATCCCAATGCTCTATGGGTTGATGCAATCATTGCCAAAACTATGCCTAAAAGGTCACTATCTTCCCGCATAATATCAGTATTGAACCTACCAGATACGTAATTGATGAATAGATTGTGTGTATCTACTTTTTCATGCAGACAGGGCTTCTTACTTGGTTTTGTGTTCAATAATGATTGCCTCACCCTTTTTGGTTCCACCGGCCGGTTGATTGATAGGATGTTGAGCTAATGAAAAGAATTGGAGCAGCAACGACAGTTGACAGCAGGGCAACTAGAGTGAGATATGTCTTCTCCCCTAGCGTTGATTTCTGCTCTCCCTTCCCCAATGTTTACTGGTGATCATTCTTGGTTTCTTACTCATGAACGTTTGAATTGTGTTTGGTTTATAAGTACACTAACTAAATATAATGAATATTGGTTCATACGAGTCAGATCATTTGAATATAATGAACAGATTGCTAAAGTGGCTGGATGCAAGACCGTAGAACAATTAGATGGCTACTTTCACTCTATTAGTTTGCCCTGTTTCTACTATAATCCCACCTCATTTACAGATGTAAGGCTTACTCATGGTGGTTTCCAAGTAGAGTCTAAACTCATGATTTCATTTCTCCTGTGCATTCTGTTGTGGTAGTTGGAATTTTTCACATATAACAACTATATATTAGATTTGTCTGGTAAAATTGTACAACAACTAATCATATTCTACCCTTTTGCATCGTTATACTTTCTACATTCATATTGGTTCATACGAGTCAGAACAATTTATGGAAATTACAAAATTTAAACAGAAAAAAGAAAACACAAACGCTCACAAGCTAAAGACCAAATAGTCACCCGCGGCAAAGCGCGGGCAAAGAAACTAGTTATTACTTAATAGATGTATCACAATAGAGAATAATGATTTGAATGACATTGTACTCTACTATGATATGGATTAATGTATATTTTAGGATAAGATGCTTTGAATCGTATTAAAAATGATTGTCTCTTTGTCGACTTCATGATATAGTAGGTGTGTTTAATGTTATAATTGAAAGTCTATATGTAAAATATTCCATATTATAATGTTGGATGTACGGGGCGGGTATTACCCATGGGTACCCGAAACCCATGGGTATGGGGATGGGTTTGCAAAACCCTCCCCCGCATGGGTATGGGGCGGGTATGAGTATAGATATTTAAAAGCGGGGATGGGGATGGTTTAGGCAAACCCGCCCCAAACCCGCCCCATTGCCATCCCTACTAGCGACTGGCCCGGCCTGTTCGCCGGATTCATTTTCAACAATCGTGTAAACAATAATAACAATTATTATGTGATATATGTGTTTATTTGATAGTATAATTTTTTTTAAATTATTCAAATATTCTTAAACATTCAAAATTATTGATAGCATAAGAGTATTCAAATTATGAAAATACTTGAATCATTCAAAAGAATCAACATCATAGTGTTTACTTTCTAACTTACTCATCAACTAAAATTATTTGCAGAAATGAAAGACAAAATTCATGCAAGAGAACCAGCTCTTAAACATATGTTTAAAATACTATTTACTCGTTATCTTTAGGTCTACACGTTTCTTTTGAACTTGTTTGTGTTTTCTCCGTCATAAGCAACATCATTATATTTACCAATAAAAATGTTTGCATCTCATTAGTGATACATTTATCTCCATTATCAATGACCTCTTCCATTTTAATAGTCTTCCGTGTTTTCCTACATTTCATTGAGCAACTTCATTAAATATTCCTTACTGTAATTTAACTTCTTAGCAATAATTTGATTTTGATAATTTAATCCCATAGATCCGGATGGAATAGGCAAGCGTGGAAAATCAGACATAGATTTCCAATAATTATGCAATAATTTATCTCCATCGAATATATATCTTTGATCACATTAGTAGAAAGATGCAAAATCCGAATATCACCGCTCAAAACTTACCATTTTTTGTGCAAAGTTTGCACCTAAGACATTTGGCAATGAATAATAATTATTAATTAATGTCAAGAGGTTGACCAAGTGGTAAAGTTGGGATGTGAACATCCATGAAATCATGGGTTCGAACTTTGGCGGCAACAACCAACTGGGAAAAAAGTTGAATAAGAATTGTGACAAATAAATTTCCTAATTTATAACCATAACCTGAAAATGCAACTTCTTTAAAAAAGTCACTCAACTTATTATCATTTTCCGATAACCCAAAAGCATAACATGCTTTCTGGATTCAAAAGAAGAAGAATTACAGCTAACATCATAAAACAAAATTCTTCAAAGTGTCTCTCCTGATGTTATGTAACAACGGTCTAGAATGTTTTAACCTCATAAGTACAAACACAAGCTACGATTTGGTATTGTTTTTCATTACCAGTTGGTTTGCATGTCAATGTTTTCATTGTTTTGTCTTCAAGTTTGTTGATATATTTAAACATATACTTGATAGTTCTATATAAATAATAAATTAATCAAATAACTCAAACATTCTAATAACGTAATAATAAAGTAAAAATATTAAAAACTCAAAATTTTATATATTGACTTTTGAAATTTGATTTCACCATATTTGGATTTATATACATCCAACATTTAAATTTAGGAATTTTTATGATAATATTATCCACTTGGGGAGTTTCACGTCTAAATTAAAAATATGCAGTAAAATCCTAAACACTTTACCTAAATCACAATATGAACCTAAACTCACACACCTCACTTTTTTTTTTTGCCAAAAAATACTTCGTATTGAACGAGATAATCAAGATACACTAAAGTCAATTAGCCGACCAAAGCCATGAACGAAAATCGAACCCTATCAAACTAGGAACATTGAAAGGGCTTTTCTGGCCACCATATGGGCCACCCTATTACGCGCACGTCCAACAAAACAAACACTAGACTGGAGAAAACATTGCCTCAACATCTTGATCTCCTCCAAAATTACCCCACCACGAGCATCCAAACATGATCCCTCCTTCACCTTGTCAAGCACCACCTTGGCATCACCTACAAACACGACGTCCTGCACCCCCCTATCAAGCGCCCACCGAATCCCGTCCCTCAAGGCTAGGAGCTCCACTAAGAAAGGTTCTTGCACATCCGGATACACAGATGCATCTGCCCCAAGCAGCGTCCCCGAGGAATCCTCCAGAACCCAACCACCTGCACCATGAGAGCCTGAACAAACATCCCCATCCGTGAACACCCACAACGCCCCCTCCAATCATGCACCCCACCCTGACCCCCCCTCAACCCATCCCCAGAGGCAGAGAAAGACGTTAACCCACTACTCAAAGGCACCACCTCCCATTCTGCAACCTGTCTTCTGAGCTGAGAGAGCAACACGGCCGGGGTGAACAACGTGGAATAAAAAACCACCCAATTCCGAGCCTTCCATATGCGCTAGAGGAACCTGTGGGAACCAATCTCCGCAACAATTGCCAAAGGAAGAATTGAAACTTGGGGAGAACTGGGGCACTCCAAACCTTACTCCACAAACCCGAATCCCAAATAGCAGGACCCAACTTAGCCTGAACCTCTCGACCCCGCCTACGACCTACCGCAAGATGGTATCCTGACTGAACATAATATGACCCAGAGAGTTCGTGATGCCAGGCCAGCCTATCCTGAATCGGAACTCTTGGCAAAGGAATAGCTCGAACAGAATAAACTCACACGCCTCACACTCTGCGCAATTTCAAAAAACCACTTTCCCTAACTAAATAATGATAATATAGTAATAACAATATTGTTTGATAAACGATCAAAATCGTAGTCTATGAGAATATGGTTAACCTAAAACAACTTGATACCTCATGAGAATATAGTAAATACTCTGTTACAGTATTAATATGAATAATGAATAGAAAAATGAAAAATGGTAAGGAGAAAAGATAATCCGACAGGAGACCATATTAATTGAAAAAATAAATAATAATTTAATGAGGTGGGAAGAGGTGGGCTTTGAGATTTGGCATATGAGAGGTTGATTCTTCCAACTTTGTTGTGTTCATACGTTGGCTTTTGGACTGGCTTACTTCGTCCGATATGATAATTAAATTCGTGGCTGTACTTTGGCGGATTTGAAAGGCCCGTAATATGATGGTCTTTGAGTTCAAGGCATATGGTTGATGAGTCGGTTGATGGAATGGTTGGCTTTTTCGATGGGGCTCTGCATGCATATTCGCATGCGGTTGTTAGCCTGATCATCCAGGATGCTTATGGTGGGGTGGTATCGGCAAAGGCTGTGCGGTTGCACGGTGTGTATGAGCCTGCTATGGTGGATTGGTAGCTCTTCGGGATGACTTCCACTTGTGTGTGGCGAAGGGATTCACTTTTATGTTGATCTGTGGAGATGCGAAAGGGATCATAGAAAAAGTTAATGCCCGGAGTTCGGTTGCAGCTCAGGGTAGCCCCATCCATCGGGAGATTCAGGCTCTTCGACAGGAGTATCAGGGGTGTTAGTACAGTTTGTTGTTAGACAAAATAATAGGGTTTCCCATCTAGTTGCAAGGAAGGCTCTTGTATTGTCAGCTGTGATGTACTTTATTTTGATTTTTGTGCTTGGCTCCGTATGGAGTTGTAATCGTTTGATCTATATTTCCTAGTAATGTAAGCTATCTTTGGTTTTTTTTTTTAAAAGACTATAAAAAAGTTTGCCTTAAATTTTTGGGTTAATACCTTAGTTTGGCCCGAACTATACACATACTTTCTACTTTGACCCGTGATATTGAAAATTGCTAATATGGCATGAACTATGTAGCAAACTTCGTCCTTTGGCCTGGAGGCGATTTTGACCGTCAAATTAGACGGTCAAACCTGTTGACCGTTAGTCAATGTACACCTCACCTGCCACGTTAGCTTTGAGGACATAAAAAATTATTTTTTTCTTTCGATTAATAATATTAATAATTATTATACCCAAAAAAACTCTAAAAATTTAATTAAAAGAACCAAAAAAACGAAGAAAGGAGGGCGCGATTTTGATTCTCGGCGGCGGCTCGTTGGAGAAGGGATACAGTTTCGGGGGAAGAAATTTGTTTTGGAGAAGGGATAGAGATTCCTTTTTTCCCGATTTTTTGTGAGAGGGGAGGGTATAAATGGTGGCTAGTGGCCTTTTTTATTTTTTTTTCGTTCTTTTAATTAAAATTTTAGAGTTTTTTTTATAAGAATTATTAATATTATTAATCGAAAGAAAAAAAATTTAAAAAAATTTATTTTTTTATGTCCTCAAAGCTGACGTAGCAGGTGAGGTGTACATTGACTAACGATCAACAAGTTTAACCGTCTAATTTGACGTTCAAACCCGCCTTCAGGCCAAAGGAGGAAGTTTGCTACATAGTTCAGGCCATAGTAGCAATTTTCA